CTTAAAATCATTTTTTTGTATTTCGAAGTACAGTAAAAATTACCTTCATTCTTTTTTTAAAATAGAAGATATCTCAACTATTCTCCTTAGGAACAAAGTCAATCTTTTTATCAGGCTACTGAAAAATCAAACTTGTTACTCACTGATAATTAATCAAATACAGGAAACACAGAATAAAAAATCCTTTACAAACGAAGTATTTGATGCATGCAACACACTTGATTTAAATTTCATACAGTGCATGTTAAATGGCAAAAAGATTCAATTGACGCAATTCATCGTAGAGCTACAAACTAATGTTATGCTAATATTGAAAGAAACGTTCCAGTTTTGGAATTTGAAAGAAAAGAGAGAGTCGTTTAAAGTCTTGATGGAGATGAATTTTCCTAGAACTCTGTCCCAATAATATTGCTAACAACTACAAGAGCCGTGTTGTTTTAGCTGATTTTTAATTTATTGTTTGACTATCTAAATATTATTTTACCTGTAATTTACAACCGGGTGATAAGAGAAAGTATAATAATAATAACAATTACAATACACGACGTATATTGTGCACATTGTGCATTGCACACATTGTGCAGTCTATAATTTTTAAGCAACTAAACACTTCTTTAAATAAGGAAAAAAATATTAAACAGTTAAAACGTAAATTTGTTATTTGAGTAAATAAAGTTGTTTTGGTGTTTGATAAATGAGTATAACACTTTTTCTGTTTACTGATCATTGACCAAGAAATGATTAAGTGTAATAGAATTTGGGAAAATGATAAAAACACTTTAGCAAATTTTTTGTAAAACCTAAAAAAACCTCCTGAGTTACGCCTGTTTTGTTGTTTAACCATTTGATCTTCAAAAGCAATTCCAATTATCGCAATTGCATTGCAAGCATCTTCCAATTATTGCAATTAAAATCGAAAAATATGCGATACTCTTTCTTTTGTTGAAATTGAAAAATAAGTGATACTCTTTGTTTCTGTGATGCAAAAACTGTTGATAATCTAAAGGTGTTTGCACTTTTCATTTTAAGCATCACATTTTACTCAAAACGCGATACTTTTAAAGGAACTTTAAAAAATTAAAGAAATTTAAAAGAATTATAAAATAAATTCTTCCTTTAAAAATTTTTCTCTCTGACACTTTTTGCGACTGAGCGAGATTTGAACTCCAAACCTTTGGATCTAGAGTTAAATGTCTCATTCAAACAAGTTTTTAGAAATTTTTAAAACTTAGCATTAGTAACAACAAACAAAAAAACCGGAAAACCCAAAGTCAAGAGCAGTTGGAGTAATATTGATAGTGACTGAATGACGTCATGATGATTAAAATAAATTTCGTAAGGATTAAACTGACGTCTAATGGTTTTTTATTTAACAAAATTTTAAGTTTATCAATTATTCTAACTTTTAACAATTAAGTTTAAATACCTGGAGCAATTTTTATCAACCAATTCACAGTGGGACAAAACCGTGTTTTTTGTGCCAAAATTTTTTTATCAGAACTATTATAAATTAATTATACAAACCATATATAATGAAAAACAAGCTTATATTTGTCTAAAAATTAAAAATCTATATAAAAAGTTAATTTTGTTTTCTTAAATTACAATTAAAAGTTACAAATTAGATTTGTCTTTATTCTAGAACGTATAACTCTTGCATATAAAAAGTTCAACAACACCCGAAGGTAATTTTTTTTTTACTAATGAAACAGTTTTTCTATAAGATGAAATAACTGGATCAGTTGTACACAAAAGTATTTTATGTACATCTGATCCAGTTATTTTACTTCAATTGTCATTATTCTTGAATTTTTGCCTAATGTTCCCTGTATTTTCAAAACTATTTATTTCTAGCTTCTTGAGGCTCTTTACTAAATATACCATTTGGCAATTATAGACTCTCAGTTATTTCTGCTCCATGAATTAAGATCTTGTGAAGACTCTGAGGCATGTAATGCCAATGGTACAATCAGGAATAGAGTTTTGCGGTCTTCAGAAAAAAAAAGCAAAACTTACAATTATCTATTAAAAACCTACTAGATATGCAAATTATGATTATGTGCACCTTTACAATTAGTTCTTTGTTTATTCCAGTAATTTCGGCTAATACATCTTTATTTGAAAAGTCTTTTTGAGAACTATTGCCATCATTTAAATTTTCAGATCCTCCACATTTTGGGTAGTCAACAATAAGTCCCAGTTTTTTTTGGAATCTTTTTTGTATATTTATTTTTTGTTCTTTAAAAGAGCTTTCTCTGCGTCTCCTCTTGCTTGTCTTTTTTTTATTAGTATTTTATATGAAATATGAATGAGACACTCAAAAAATCTTATCAATGAATGAAATATAGAAAATCCTTATTGAAGCTCATCCGGTGAATAGGGAAATTTTGGTGAACATCCACCTATACAACAACATTGAATAGAGCTTGTTACATTCGATGGACTTTGCCATCTATATTTGTAACTTGATATGCTTGTCTGATATAGACTTACCAGTAGATAATTGAACACAAGTTTTTACAAGATTAAAGATCTCATCTTTTAAAGTAGTTTCTTCTATGATTAATAAATTAGATGTTTATTTCTCAAATTTCAATCTTAAAGGTTGGCAAGATAAAGTAGAAGGCTTCGGATTTCTCCAAATAACAGTATTAGTTTCTTTAACATAAGTTGTAATCTGAAAACAAGGCAAGTTAGAAACAATGATCATTTGTTTTTCAACTTGCAAAGACTTTTAACTGACATTTTTTGTTTATATATGCTTTGGCCAGTAGAGCTATCAAAACCTGCTTATAATAAAGAGATACCATGTCACACTTTTCTACTATACATAAAACATCATTTTGAACTTGGAAAAGTCTTGAGCTGTATGGTCATATAAACTTTGCAGTGGTATGCTTGCATTAAAGTCAGTATAAATCATGTTGTTAGAGTAGCACAAAAGTTTTGATAATTTTATGTTGTTATGGATACAGGTTGAATTGTTTTACAATTGCTGTATTTCTATGGAGTTAAAAAGCAAGTTTAATCATATTTGAATTATAGCATCAACGTTAAAGCTCATTTCTAAAAAGCATTGAAGAATCTATTCTTATCTAAATATATTTTGCTGATTGCTTTAGCCATTTCTGTTTTTTCATTCTTTATTTTAATGAAACTTTTGAAGCAAATAATAACTTATTTGACAAGTGACATTTGCTGAAGTTTGCTAACATGTTGATATTTCTTTTGTTTGATAGTTCTTGAATAACACTCTTGAAAATCATTAGTTGGTGGTCGACCAGTGCTAGAAGAAAATTGAAAATTTGTATTCGGTATGGTTCTTTTGACTGCAGTTAAATCATTTAAATTAATTTCATTACCAGCCATTTTTCTTAATAAACAAAGATTCCACGCGTTTATAGGTATTCTAGCGCAATTTAAGATGTGCTAAAATGTCTCTAAGTCTAAGATTTCTTAATAATGTCATTGTTCTGATCGAAGGGGAAGTCAAAGAATATTAGCAAATGATGGTTTGATTTCTTTGTGTCTTGAACGGAAATGTTATTATCCTTTAAAGACATGTAAACATCAAAATATTTCATCTAAAAACAAAATTTCTTCCGGACATATATCTGTAAAAAACTATTTACAGATATATACAGGGATGAGGGAGGAGTGGGGGGGGGGGGTTTAAAAATCACTACATATAGAACAAAAAAATTTTTTATTGAAACCATTTGTAAATTAAAAAAATTATCCTATATTTGTATTTACACACTTTGCATAATTAATTTGAAGTTAAAAAGTTATTACAAAACATTAGAGTTTAAAAACTTATTAAAAACGTGTTTTTGCAATAAATAGTATTTATTAAATACTATGAAACGAATATGATTTACTTGTAATAACTTTATATTGCAACAAGTTGCAAAATATTTATGATGCATGGCTGTTACAGGATTACTACTAGAGGATCACTACTAGAGGATTACTACAAATGCTGTATACTTCTCAGAGAGGAGTACTATTAAAGGATTACTACAAATACTGTATACTTCTAACATACTTTTCAATAAACTTAAAAAGATTTTTAACTTATTTTTTATCACACTTACATCTTTGTTCAATGTTCAAAGATGGCACTAATGTTATTTAAAATACATTTATATATAAAATAAATAAGTTAATAAATATAAGTTAATTTACTAATTTTTATATATTGTATACGCTATAATTAACGTACAGAAAACTGCTTTCTGTCCATTTTTTATTGTTTTTTGTTTGTATCCGTTTATTATATTAAAACCTCAAAGAGTTATAATAAAAGCTTGAAAAATTTTACAATCCCTTTTGTTTATTTTATGGTTATTTTATATGATGGTATAACTTTTTTTACCAAGTAAAACAAGTTTATTACATTCTTGTGTTTGTTAATTGAAGATAAGTTTTGTAATTGAAGATAAGTTTCACTTTACGGGACTTGGCAATAAGATTGAACATATCTTCTTCTTGCCGAAGGGATCTATATGTAAATTTATATCTTTTAGAATAGTTTTATAAACCTTATTTAACGGCAAAGTATTCACAGAAAAAAAAAGTTATGATATATCTAATAATCAATGATAAATCTAATATATCTAATAATCAATGACAAACAATAGCATATTATATTGGCATATAATATTATCAATTTATATATATATATATATATATATATATATATATATATATATATATATATATATATATATATATATATATATATATATATATATATATATATATATATATATATATATATATATATATATATATATATATATATATATATATATATATATATATATTATTCAATTTATATATATATATATATATATATATATATATATATATATATATATATATATATATATATATAAATTGAATAATATATATATAAATTGAATAATATATATATAAATTGAATAATATATATATAAATTGAATAATATATATATAAATTGAATAATATATACATACTTTCAATATTAGGATTTATGTATAAGGTATATATGCAATAAGATTTTATTTGAATGAATCTCTTTGTGCATTTGTGGTTTTAATAATTAACCAAACTGTTTGTATGTACGATTTTCAATTTTATCTAAAATTTGCAATTACGATTATGTTATTATTTAAACTTTTGTTTCTTCGCTATTATCTAGGTAATTACGGATGATTTTTGAAAAGCCTTTGTTTGAAGGATCAAATAAATCGTAGTTCAAGCCATTAAGAGATCCCTCAGAAGTACTCGATAAAATGCTAGACGAGGTTGAGCATTGTAATTGGTCGTTATTTCTATTCCAATTTAATTGCTCAACATCTATTATGCTTATAGTAGTTAAATTAGATTTTTCATCAAAGTATGATGTGCTGACGTTGTTTTTTAATGTTTTAGAAATTTTTTTTTTCCTATTTTGAAGGTCAACCGCCTCCATTTTGCGTGCTACTGGTATGTATTTAGTTGTAGAATTGTTTATTAAGCACCTACCATAATATCGTTTTTGCATTGTTGAGTTTTCAAACGATTTTTCAATAACTCGAGGGGCAAGAGGAGAATCTTCAAACTGAATTTCTCGTTTAGCCAACCTTCTAAAAGTTGTACGTCGGAAAGTATCTCTTAAACTTTTTCTTGAAATAGTTGAGTTAGTTGATAAAAAATCTCTTGGTAGTTCTTTTTGGAGTTTGAGAAAAACTAAAAGCTTCAAAAATAAGTAGTGAAAAGCTTTGTTAAAGTCATGACGTAAGGTGCCGTAAATGACCGGGTTCAGAGCAGCTTGTAATGATACTACAAAGTTTGATGACCCAAACAGTAAAGCCCATGCTTTTGGAGTTAGTTGTATTTTGTCTTTAAAGTATTCAATCATATAAAAGTAAACGTGTTGAAATCCTGTGCAAATTGAAAAAACCAGTACTAATGCTACAAGCATACTTATCATACGTTGGTTTTGCTTTCTGTGTTTAGTGTCTGTTTCCTTCACCACAATGTAAATCATTACAATATGTGCAACTATTATAATTAACAAAGGTATAGCAAATGATAAGACAAACATGAAATTCCAATAAATTAATCCAGATAATACGTTAGGCCAGGTTTCTACGCAAACAACATTGCCATCGTAACTTTTAGTTTCTGATATAATAAACAAAGGAATGTTAACAATCAAAGATATAATCCAAACACCCAAAATAGTAAACTTAGAATAACGTGTTGAATCTGCATGCCATTTGAATGGTTGAACTAAACCTCGCGTTCTGTCAATAGTTATTGCCAAGAGGGTGCCGATAGTGCTAAATAAAGATACTGGAAGCACTAAGTACGCAATTTTGCACATAACAAAACCCATTGTCCAATTAAGTTGATTCTGAATATAGACCATTTGTGTTGGAACATAAACAAACAGTATCATTAAGTCGCATACTGCTAAGTTGAAAGCATAAAAGTGAATAGACCTTCTCATCGATTTTTTTAATAAAATAACGGTACAAGTTAATAAGTTTCCTAATATTCCGAGGCACATTACTAGAACATACATTGAATGAAATAGAGATAAAACTTCGTGAGAGTATTTTATTTTGTCTTCGGTCATGTTACTGTCGATTTCGGCGGAGACATTTAACAACTTCCAAGAATTTTGTGTATGATCACTTTGATTAAACAATACCATTTCTTGTTAAGCTTTAAACTTCATCTTTAAAAACTACCTGAAAATGACGACATAATGGTTTTTAGTTTTTTATTTATTTTTTTATTTTTTTATTTTCATGTTTAAGTTAAGAATATATTAAAAACTTTAGAAACATTCTCTTATTCTAGTAAATATTGTTTTTATTTAATAATTATTTTTTTATTTTTTAAATAAGACTTTTTTAATTTCTTACAAATTGTAACAAATAAAATAGATAAGCAAATTACTCGATTACTACTTTCATGCAATGTTATTTTTTCAGAGCATGGTTTAACACAAAACAATCTTTTTTTGTTAAAACGATTTAATACTCATTCAAAGTTTACTTTTATATTCCATTTATAAATAAATAAATAAAATTATAGTTTAAAGTTAGAGAAAAACTTATGAAAAAAATGTGCAATTTTTTTTTTTTTTTTTTTAATTAATCTTTGGACGTAAAATCAAGGAATACTGGACTCCAAAGATTTTAGATACGGTCTAAAGTGTTTCACTTTATAACAGAAAAGAAGGTCTTTCTAGAAGCCGAACAGAACTCTTAAATTAAGATATATATGATTTGCCCACAAATTTTTTATCCACAAATTATATTTTGCTAAGACCACTCTATTACATAATAGCTATTTTATTTTTCAAAAAAAAAAAACATGTTTTACGGAAAATTATTAAAACAAAATTTATATTTCTAAAACAATAACAAAAAATAAAAACGTTTAAACAAAAAAAAAATTAGATACTTACACAGAGTCTTCTTTTTTTCTTCAATACTGAAGATTTTACCGTCGATGAACACAACTTGAAGAAAAACGTATATTCACATTAGCATTGCTTTTACAAATACAAGGAATAAACACTCCTCTGTGCACTCCTCTGTAGAGTTTCCAAAACATATGAAACATTAAAAATATTTCATCTAATTTCTTTTTGCATTTAAATCACTTTGCTTTGAGCTTTATGGGAAGGTTTGTGTAATCATTAAATACCAAATCATTTATGATTGCGGTGAAAAAATAAGAAAACAGAAATCTCAAACTTTGTAATATGGAGATTTTTTTACTATGAATCCGTCGAGTCAATACTTTCACAGAAGGTTGCAAACAAGATTACATAAAGCTTACTTTCCTTTGAAAATGTTTGCCTGAAGCAAAATTTTGTTTGTATTCCGTTTCAAAAATTTTGTAAGTATAACTAAAATAAATATTTACAAATAAATTACGCCATATATATGTTTTAATTATCAAACTCGTAAAGAAACTCAACACCATGTTACAAATTTGGTTAAAAATACAACGCTGGTGGTTGCAAAGATGTGGCGCATTAAATGTATTTTAGTAATTTTTTTAAGTACATGCAGTTATCAAGAGGTTCTTAGACTAATTAGAAAAATTATTAGGTTCTTTTAAATGGTGTCTTTTGGTTCAGTTTCATGATTGAAAATGGAAATTTATGATTTGAAAAATAAATGTTTCAAAGCTGTTTCAAACATGTTTTAATTTTTTAAATTCTTTCAAAGCTTTTGTTTTTTTTAGGATTTTTGTACATTTTTTTCTTTTATTAACTTAATTAGTTATAAATCGAATGTCTCTTCAACGTTTTTTATTTGTGAGGAGGCTTGATTCTAAATCAAAGTTGTAAGAGAAAAATGCTCGAACCAACACTTTAAAAGTAGAAGTAAATCCTATAAAACAATTTTTAAAGGGTTCCTTTCTCCTTTATAAAGTAGAGGGTGGTTAGCTACTTTCAAAGATGATAAAGTTTTTATTAAAAAGGTTTTGCCAAAAGTATAATATTTAAATGTACTGTATTTCATTTTTATTATATAACACTATCATTTTACTCGTATTAATTTTATTAATTTATTATTGTTTATTACATATTACTATTACATATATTATAAATAAATTATTATATATTAAAATATTTATATATGACTAAATTTTACGGTTACAAAGCTTAAACTTGTTTAAAGTTAAAGCCAAAAAGTAAAACATTTGTAAACAAAAACAGGATCCATAAAAAAATTCAACCAGTACGGTATCCAACATCTAACATTTTTTTAACGGTTTTACGCATCTTATGTTAATTGAGAGATTTCATTTAGACTGTTGCTTTTCATTTAACAATGCCACTTTACTTTGTTTCTTTCTTAATTATAACATCTTCACATTATTACTTTCTTAACTATTACATCGCCACTTTATTACATTGTTAATTATTACAGGTACATCTTTAAAAATGTTTACCCTATAATGAGATTTAAGTTTGTAAATGTATCTTTTAAAAATAGAATGCTTTGAAATTTTTCATACACTTTTATATTATTTCATTGTCATGCGATCTTGTATAGTTGAGCTAGGTATTCAACGTTTCCGCAATCGAATACTGAATATTTCGGTTAGGTATTCAGCGTTTCCGCAATCGACTACTGAGTATTTCCGTTATTTAATAAAAAGATTACCAAAGTTTTATAGCAAATTCGGATTTGGTGAATTGTGTCTGTTTTGTAGTTATGTACTACGTAATTTCAATTTTTTACGCCTAGTTATATTACATTATATTTATAAGGTGAATGACGTATGAAAAAATTAATTCAAAATAAAATATTTAAATCAAAATAATATTTGTTTAAAAACAATATTTAAAAAGATGAAAATTTTTTTTTTTTTACTTCTTGTAACTTTACGACACCGCGTGACACCGCGTTTCGCATAAATGCTGAAAGAATTATTGAATTATAAACTATAAATAATAAAATAAATTACAGCAAATAAAAAATTGGTTTAATTTAGATGGGTATTTATAATATAACATTCCATTTGTTAATTTTTAACATAGTTGTATGCTTTATACTTTTTTTATTGTTTTTATTTTCAGATTTGAAACTAAATTTTGATAATTTGTAAGTAAATAAGAATTTAAAAAATAAACTACAAATTAAAAATTCGCTTTAGAAAATTCACGATAAAAGTGATGATTTTATTAAAGATGTCATTTCCTTATATCAGATAATCTAAATAAAAAACGAAATAATTGAGCGTTATGTATTAAATCCAAACAATTAAAAAAATGTTGAAATTAAAAAAACAAACATATTTGAGTAATAAAAACAAACATAAAAAAAAATAGTTGCTTGTAAGCGTGGTAACCGTCATATTATCGGATCATTAGATAAACCATTAAATCCAATAATGTGTTTTGGAAGCGGGGGTCGTAGATTTGAAATTAAAAGTTGAAAATTTTTTGACAATAAATTAAATATAATTACAATTTTTTTTAACATAAAAGGAAATTAATTTTATGTTATTTTTTATTATAAGAAGTTTTCTTTAAATTAGCTTATTGTTATTATTACTATTATTATTGTTGTTGACAATAATAATAGTAGTAATTATCAACTTCCTAGTGCAAGAAGAAGAAAAATTTAGTTATATCACCAAGCCCTTTAAAGATATAAATAATTAATTTATATCTTTAAAACTTTATAAATATATTTTTTTAAACCTGAACAAATGTTCAACATAAATTTAATGTTAAATCTGCAATATACTAAAAATAACGTTTAATAAAACAACTTTGAAATAACGTTGTATATATATATATATATATATATATATATATATATATATATATATATATATATATATATATATATATATATATATATATATATATATATATATATATATCCATATAGTAGCATGTTCGAGAACAGATTTTACATTAAAATGGATACTTACGAGGACATTAGCAGTATCGGGGACATTTTAGTGTACTCGATAATTTTTTGTCCTTGTAAGTGGCGTTTTTTTTATAAAAAAATGTCCCCGTAAATAGTTTTTATGCAAAGCGAAAAGTACATACATAAACTGACAAATAGCCTGACTTGCAAGGGAGTGCTGCTACATCGACTGAGGGTTTGGTTTGGTCAGGCAGCAAGGTCAGGTATAGAGTTAGGGTTAGGGTTAGTTATTTTAATGTAAATAATCGTTTTTGTAAATATATATATATAAATATAAAATATAATAGATAATAATTAAATAAAAATAATTAAAATATTTATAAAAAATAAATTTTTTTAAGAAAATAATAAATTTAAAAATGAATAAATAAAAATTGACATAAAATAAAAATATAAAAAAGAACATATATGAAAAATATAGTAAAAACAGAGAAATAAAAATTGCGATTAACGGGGAAAAAAAAAAGGACCCGTAAATCAAGCACTAGTAATATATATATATATATATATATATATATTCATATATATATATATATATATATATATATATATATATATATATATATATATATATATATATATATATATTCATATATATATATATATATGTATATATATATGTATATATATATATATATATATATATATATATATATATATATATATATATATATAATATATATATATATATATATATATATATATATATATATTTTGCAGAATTGTTTAAGTTATGTAACATAAAATTTTAAATTAATTAAACAATAGATTGTTATATATCATTGGAAAGACCTTAAAAACAGTATTTTAAAGGTAAAAAAAATTATTAAAATTGAACAACTCTGCAAAATTTTATAGCGTTTTAAGTACCAAATTTTTGATATATGGATTTGTTGAAAAAACCATGACCAATTTTAAAGTTTTTCTTATTTAAAAATGTCCTAACTTTGTCAATTCTGATCAAAACTTATAAAACTTGGTATTACAAGAAAGGTCTTAAAAAGGAGAATAAGGATACATAAAAGACGTATGCGGGGTGTTAGAAGGGCGTCTATAACACCCTTTAGTATAAATAAAGTTTCAATTTTTTACTGAAATTTTGAATTTTTTTTTTACTTTTTTTATATTATATATATTTTATATATACTATTCAATATTATTTTATATCATTATACAAATTTAAACATTATTAATGTTCAAATGTTTATAATGATACACCCTCCCCCAACTACCCGTGTCTATAGCGGAACTCAAGTCAAAAATATGTTCTTATTGGGTGAGTTAGTAGGGTGCTTTTTTTTCATAAAATTTGGCAGGTAACAAGAGAAAAGGTTTTTGCTGATGTCTGAATATATTAGAAAAAAGTCTCAGCATTCCTTCAATACATACCTAATGCACAAACAACAAAGAAGTTTTAAAAAACAATAAATTCATTATAAACAAAGTTTTATAAAAAAATATTCTGTGTAGAATTAAAGTTAAGCTATTCTAGTACTCAAAAAAACGTTTATATATATATATATATATATATATATATATATAAATGTATATATATATATATATATATATATATATATATATATATATATATATATATATATATATATATATATATATATATATATATATATATACATTATATATACATATATATATATATATATATATATATATATATATATATATATATATATTTATATATACATATATATATACATATATATATATATATATATATATATATATATATATATATATATATATATATATATATATATATATATATATATATATATATATATATATATATATATATATATATATATATATATATATATATATATATATGTCAATATAAATGTATTTTTACTAAAAAAAAAGCATAATTTTTTTTAACTAAAGTTATTTTAGATTTGTTAACAATTTTAATAAAACGAATAATCTCGGTGTAAAATTGGCTATACTCCCCGCTGCAATAAACTTTATAGTTATTTGGAAACTAAAGGCACCGTGCCTTGATAAAGTTGTTAGAGAGGAAATTAATTATATCAACTGTGTTCTTTCTCTCAATGCCAAACTTAATTTTAATGATCTCCAGGTTAAAAAAAACATAAATTTTGTGCCTACATTGCTTTGCTATTTTCGAAACAATTCCTATTAAAACATATTTAGCTGTAAGTAGAATACAAATCAAAAAATAAAGGTTGTTATTTGTGTTCTACATACAAACTAAAAATCTAATAATTCTACCCATAAACTGAAAATACATTAAGTTTCCGAATAACTGCAATATTTACTCGAGTAGGGTGTCTACCGGTAAAATTTAATTTATTTTTGAAAGCTTTTGGGGCTCCTCTAGAGCGGGAGCTTTGGAGCTTCGTTAGAGTTTAAACTTTGAAGATCCTTCTTGAAATTCGGAGTTCTTTAAATGCTGGGGCTTTGGAGCTCCTCAACTAATACAAAATTCTCAATGTCATCAACGAATAAAGACATATGTTAATAAAGGTTAAGGGCGTACAAACTAAAAATGTTTTAACAAAAATTATTCATGCTTTATAACAAGATTTACGCAATTATTATTTTTTTATTTATAACAATTAATATTAAGTGTTTATGCAAGTAGTATTTTATGCAAGTATCTGATGCACAAAAAGATTTTGGGATAACAAATTTTAAAACAATTTTTTTCATAAACTCAACACCTTTAAAAAGTATTTTAGTATAACACCGTCGACAAGGTCTAATAATACCCACTTTTTATTTTTTTTACTTTAAGATTTTGTATTTTAATTTATAAATTTTATTGTTTGCATATTTTCATATATGTTAAATATCTTTATAATTTTGCAACTATGCGATGAATTCTGCTTATCGCACTGCGGAATTGTGCTTTAACATATATATCCATTTTAAATTAAATCTTTGCTAATAGTTTTGATTGCAATCAGCATGATTATGTATTTGTAAGTATCATTTAACATAGAGAGATTATGCCACTGTTTTTGTTAATTTAACTTATTTTATATTATCTCTTTTTGTATCTTTTCAACTAAAATAAACTTAATCGTTTCAATTAACTTATAACTTATCAATACTTTTAAAATTATCAAAACTTTTGACTTACCAATATATTTAAAATTATTAAAACCTTTAACTTATCAATACTTTTGAAATTATCAAAACTTTTGACTTACCAATACTTTTAAAATTATTAAAACCTTTAAATTATCAATACTTTTAAAATTGTCAAAACTTTTGACTTATCAATACTTTTAAAATTATCAAAACTTATAACTTATCAATACTTTTAAAATACTTTACAATGCTTTCAACTTATTAAACTTAAAAATACTTTTCACTTAATAAACTATTTCAATTTATAACTAATTTTAAAAAATTTGAAATTTATTCAATTAATATATAAAAAGTTTTTCACTATTTGTTTTTTGAAAAAATAACTTTTTTATTTTTTTGCTTTTTCTTTATAAATGTTGTTATATATAAAAGGTGTTTTGGGTAGTCGAGATTTACTTTTTTTTTGGGTAGTCGAGACTTTTTTTTATAAAACTTGTTCTGTAACTTTGGTCGTATATTTTTACTTATAAAACTATAATATTTAGAAAAAATATAGCACTTCCATGGAATTTTATAAATTTTATTTTTATTTTGTGTTTAGTTAATTTTATTTATTTTTATTTTCAAAAAATTATTATAGTTGTCATGAATTAAAATTGTTAAAAAAAGGTTGAAAAAAAAAGTAATAATTTAAGTTTGTACATTTTTTTTAAGAGTAATATTCAAAAATGAAATTATGATATTCGATCTGGAATAAAGAAGAGATTTTTACTCGAGGTTTCAAGAAAACAGTATTTTATCAAGCAAAGACTTTGCAATTTGTTATAAAAAGTTGGTAAGTTAAAACAAGATTGTGTGGTATTTTTTAAATAAAAAACCTACATAATATGGCTCATGATTATAATTCAAAAATAAAGATTGTTTAATTTATTTACTTGACGAAATTAAATTTGCTTGAGCAAAGTTAATTTTATCTTATTTTTCTTTTTTCATTAGTAAATATTATTAGTAGTATGATAATCTTGAAATAAGTACGCTAATCGAAAATAAATATACTTTGGTATTATTTGTAAATTACAATTGACATAAGTAAAATTTACTTATAAAGTTTTTAATTGTATAATACTTTTTTTAACTGATGACGAGTAATATTATCTTGTTAAGATAATAATTTTTACAATGTACAGCCATTAGTTATAAAAGTTGCTAAAATTAAAAAATGTATTAAAAACAAAATTCTAAACATTTAAAAATACTTTAGTAAAAATTTTGATCTTTTTTTTTCTCTTATGTTATTCTTGTTGCAGTACCTTTTTTTATCAAAATTATTTATTATAGATATTATTATAAGTATAACATATATATATATAATATATATATATATATATATATATATATATATATATATATATATATATATATATATATATATATATATATATATATATATATATATATATATATATATAATACTATATATATATATATATATATATATATATATATATATATATATATATATATATATATATATATATATATATATATATATATATATATATATATATACATATATATATTACAAAAATAAATTCTTACCAAAATACCAAAACCGCATCGAAAAAAACATATTTGTTGAAAATTAGGTTCCATACAAAAAATATTTTTCTTATGTAGTATGCATTTTGGGAAGAACTACATATAAATAAAGTAAATTTCTGTAACAATTCATATATAAAGTAAATTTCTGCAACAATTCATATGTAAAGTAAACTTCTGCAACAATTCATAACAGATAATAGAAAAGTAATAACATAAACATTTAATTCATTTCTACCATCTACCATACAATCTAGTAGATTTACGAAGAAACTGAAGATATTCCGTTTAAATAAAAACAATGGACATCATCCTGGGTGGTTCCTGCTCTAAACATATCAATAACAATAAATAATAGCTATCACTGGCATGTTTAATAAAAAACAAAACTATAAGATCACAATGGACTCTTCAATGATACATGTGAGTTGTTTTTAAAAATTCATAACTTGTAATCTACATTAATTATATGTTACGTTTTTTGATTTGATGCTTTATAAGCTGATTAGAATATTTCTTATTTATTTGAAGCACATCTAATCCTTTATTTCTATAACGCTAAATGATATATATCATTTCTAAAAAGGTGAGAAGTGTTAATATATCTCGTTTGTGCTTGTTCACCTAATTGCACGGGAAACGGAGTTTTCATAGATGTTTAAAAGTATTTATACATCTATAAAAAAACCGTTAATCTAAAAAAAAATAAAGATGATGATGATGATGACGATGATGTGTGATATTTATTGAATTAAAATGAACTTTTGCCCTTAATTGGTTTGTTTTTCTGAAATAGACATTTAATACATTAAAGTAATTATGATATAATGTAAGAATTACAACCGTTAAAATACGATACATATTTACTACGTAATATTATTTATTCATTGAACAATTATTAATTATAACATATATAAAATACTCATGGTTTTTAGTATTATTTTTCTATTTTATTTGGTGGCTTATGTAATAGCTTTTATTCCATATAATGGTAAGATTCTGATTGTATTAAAGTAATTCTGTATCAACTCAGGTTCAACCATAAATAATTATTTATTTTTAATTTTGCACAAATGAAGCTAAGAAAGAAATTCTTCTGGAGAAATTTGATTCACTATATTAACAATTTTTTTGGACAAAATGCCAGCTGGGTAAGTAATCAAAATTAATAATAAATAAAGTATATGAAAACAATCGTTTTTCTAAGGAAATTTTTACATCATTTTTAGTTCTTAAAAAACTTTTACATCATTTTTAGTGAACTTCTTTAAAAAATTATAAAAAGTTTTTAAATCTGTCTTAAAAGGATGATTAAACTTACATTTCTCGTTTAGAGAGGTAATTTGGGTCACAATAAAAATTAATACATTAGCCCATACAATGCTCACCTGATTAAATTGTAAATAAAACAAACTACAAGTCTTTAGGTGCTGCAGCAATCGTGATCTAATTATCAAGGAAATTTTCTTGCAGGTAAACCATTTTTTATATTTCAGAGCCCATTTTATTTTTTTTAAAGTTTAAGATTCTTTATCAAAATCTTTGAATGCATGCAACATTTTGAATGTCCTAAAAATATATACATTCTGTACATAATATTTATATAAGTATTATACATAAATTTTGTAAGCTACTAACAATTTATACAAATGGGAAACAAGTAAAGATAGTATGTGTTATTGCTAAGCCCTAGATAAATTCCGTAAACGCAAAGTAAAAATACAAAGACAAGAAAAAAGTTTTCGTACGCTATATAAAATAGAAATTGATGAAACATAGAAAATTTAGAATACAAAGTAATATAAATCCCACCTTACGCTAGAAAAAAAAAAGGAAAAACAAAAAAAAAAAGATTTTCGTTCATGGTGCTTAGTAATATACATTTTACAACACTTTTTAATGTCGATTATCACGCTCGATTATCACGATTATCACGCTGTCGATTATGTCGATTATCACGCTGTATTATTACTAAATCTTTATAAATATAATCAATGGTTGATTTAATGACATTTAAAATATATGGAATGAAATACTAATATATTACTCCATATATTTTTACAAATACATAGTCTAAGTCACTTTGAAAAGTAATAAATCAAAGTATTATTATTGTGAAAAAAATAACATTTTACTTTTTCCTGCAAGATAATACTAAAGATTTCATTATTTAGTCATAGAAAACTCGTAGAAAATTACGTAGAGTTTTGTCATTGAGAACCTTTTTGTGTCAGTTTTATGAAATACTCATAATGTTTTTTATTCAAGACTAGGATTATTTTTAGCTATATTTAATGTATTTGGTTATATTTAGTAGAATAAGATAAAAATAAAATATATGTATACATTCACACATACATATATGTATGTATACATTCACACATACATACATGTATGTATACATTCACACATACATATATGTATGTATACATTCACACATACATATATGTATGTATACATTCACACATACATATATGTATGTATACATTCACACATACATATATGTATGTATACATTCACACATACATATATGCATTGATGTAGGTCTCGAGACTTAAGTTTTAGTCTCGAGACTGATATGTAACAGTCTTGGTCTTGGTCTTGAAGCTCAGAGTCTTGGTCTTAATATTAGTCTTGAAAACCTGGAGAATTTGTCTTAGACATTTACTGTCTAGTAATTTCCTGGTCCTTACAAAAATTATCAACACAATGAATGATTTAGTAAATTGTTATTAATAAATTGTTACTACTAAGACTAACGTGTTATATAAGTGATGAAATCAAGTGATAGATAGATGTCTGTTTTACTTCTTAAATAAAGTACTTTAATAAAGTATGTATATGATTATCTCTGCATATATGTTACTTTATCTATAAGATTTTATTTCTTTTGTTACTTTAATATCAAGGAAAAGAAGAGAGTAAGAAGAGACTTTCTATTAAATTTTTGAATATGTACAAATGAACAATTGCTTTTAATTATGCTATATGAAGGTATTGAAGAAAACTTTGATAAAAACTAATTGAGTGAGGATTCTTTCGCACCAACACATACTTACGAGCTCTTCCAAATAAACTATATACCAATTGTATATTATATATTATTTTTATGTATATAAACCTTGTTATCGAATTTGATCATTGTGAACTTTTTTTAATTTGAAAATAATTTGATATGAAAAATATAAATATAAATAAACCATGTTGTATATTGTATAATAATAGTTTAATGTCTAAATAAACTAATAAAATCAAAATACTTGTCTTTAAACTTCAAATAAAACAAAAATTTAAGTTTTAAACGTTTTTTTTTTTTTTTTTTTGTGATTTCAACAAGTTTTAATTCAAGCAATTCTGGAATCAAATAAATAGTTTATTTGATTTTAGAATCAAATCAATCAATTGCAATCAAACAAATAGTTTATACTTTAATTTTTTTTTTACTGATGTGCCATTCGAGTAACCTCAATGTGCTATTCCAATAATCTCGAATAGTACGTAAGTAATTTTGTGTAACCCATCAAACATTTTTATTCTATTTTTTTATTTATTTTTTGTTTTAGGTACCCCAAAAAAACCTTGCGGTTTTAATCTTTAATTAGCTTGTAATTTTTTTTTTGTCATAATTATTTTTGTAATTCGCTTATTTCAATAAATTGTTCTCTTGTAAATCTAGTTATTCTGAGACATTTATATCAATGTCACAACAGCGATTTCCGAAGTACAGAGTTACGAATTGTTTTGAAAAGATTTTTAACATCCTTATTTTTGAGTTTTATATTAGCTTTACCAATTGATTACCAATCTCCACACTTTGTTTAATTAATAGGTTTGAAGATTGACATAAATGCTGCAACACCTCGAATCATGTGGAATTAATAATTTTTTTCTAATTAGACGTCAACAATTGCTTCATTAGAAATTTTCCAGAGCTCGCTTCGAACCCTAGATGTCTTGCTTCTAAAGAAAGCGTTCTAACCACTGTGCCACGGCTGCATTTTTGTAGTGGATTTGCAGTGAACCTATTTAGGCTTTTTGAACGGTTCATTAGAATATTGCTGATCGGTTACTTATTGGATCATTATTTGCTTCAGCTATAAGTGGCCAGCCGATAAATCTAATGCACTAAAAATATTGAAAAAAGAAAAAAAGATAAGAAAATTAATAAAAAATATACAAATATTCATTTCTCCTAAATATATTTGGTCCCACAAATTTTTTGTGCAAATGTTTATTTCTATATTTTTAATTAGAAACTTAAATTTCAGATATGAAATACTTCAAATTTATAAATATATGATTAAAAAAAATATTTATCATGCGTTATATCTATTTAGTAAAACTTTTAATATGTTTTGACGTCACATCTTCTGGCATTAATTTAATAGAAAAAATCATCATTTAAATAGTTTAAAAAACAACACCTTTTGAGAAAACAAGTCTATTTTTAAGTTGTTTTAAAGATATTTATTCAAAAATCCTTTATATATATATATATATATATATATATATATATATATATATATATATATATATATATATATATATATATATATATATATATATATATATATATATAAGATTAAATTACTGAAGGCAACCCCGGTCGCCCCTATTTATTGACTTGGCCCCCCCCGCGATACTAAACCTCAATCCGCCACTGCATGTACAAAACATTCAATTAACCTTATCCTCATACTAAACATCAAAAAATGTTTCATAAATTTGTCTAAAAAAAAATTTCAACTTACCGGGCAATATTTTTTTAAGAATTCAAAGAATTTTTCAAAAATTTTGCTTTGGAGTTGGAGTTGGAGTCGGAGTCGGAGTTGTACTCAAAAAATTTCAACAACTGGAGTCGGAGTCGTTATATTTTTTTACGACTCCACACCTCTGTAATTATATATATATATATATATATATATATATATATATATATATATATATATATATATATATATATATATATATATATATATATATATATATATATATATATATATATATATATATATATATATATATATATATATATGTAATATTAAAAACTTGTATAATTACACTTTTTTATTTTTAGTTTAAAAACTATAGGTTTTACGCAATTAAACCTAAAATGATAAAAGTAATACGAAATGTTTTTTTTTTTCAAAGTTTTTTATAATTTCGCATCGTTTGTGACCTAACACGATTTAAAGGGTCCCTAACAAGTACTAGGACCCTTTAAAAAGTAAAGATAATTGAGTTGTCCCTAAAGCATCCTATTAAAGTTTGCAATTTTGAACCAATTTTCGCGACTACATCAAATTAAAGGGTATCCTGTATAAAATGCAATGTGTGTGTGTGTGTGTGTGTGTGTGTGTGTGTGTGTGTGTGTGTGTGTGTGTGTGAGTGATTTAATTTGTATATATAGTAGTTTAATTCATTTTTATGTTGTTTGTATAGATATAAGAAAAAAATTAAATGTCTTAGACATTGTTGTTAAGCAAGAGTCAGACATTTTATTAATAAAAGATAATTTATACCATAAAACAAAAGAGTTTATTGAAGTAAATTATTAGATAATATAATGTGTTTAAATAGATATTTCTTAATTTAATTATCCAACTATAATCTTATTATTGTTATTTTATTATTGTTTTCTAACATAATTGATTTTGCGTATATTATTTAAAAAAGATTTTTTTTTAATTCCTTACTTTTTTGGAAACCTTTTTTATTTAAACTTTTTTAACCCTGACCACAGGATCAACTACAAATCATCTTATCACAAATTGATAATTCAATAATTATGCTAATTATTTTTATTGTTGTTTTCTGTTTTTCTATTTCACCAAATTTTTTTCACCTTTTTTTTTTTATTTCGCAAAATTAACTAAAGGGTAAAAATTTCTCAAAAAACACAAAAAAACACAAATCTGCACCCTATATCACCAAAATTTTTGAAACTTGGCACAAATGTTTATAGACATATGTTAGGAAAGATTTTAATTTTTTTTCATAAAATTCCTTACCGTTTATAATTTACAGCAATTTGAAGTTTCCTTGATTTTGACTAAAAACTGAGGGGGGAAAAGTGCCGAAAATCATTCCGTTTACTTTCACCTTAATATGGTGCTTGTAGTGATGCCACATTTCTGAAACTTTGTACAAAAAGAGTTTAAAACCTGTTAAATCCGAAAAATATTGTTTTTTATATGTCAAAACAAGGGAATGTAGCTTATTTTAAGATTCATAAAATACACTTTATAACGCCGAGAAAAAAGGGCATTGACAATTATAGCTATAAAAAAAATCTGACTGATATAAAAAAAATTTATTTTCGATTTTCTTAAAAATAAGATCAACACCTACTTTTCGAACCAATTTTGTTTTGGCCTTATATTTACTTGAGGAATTATTGATGTTTGATATAGACACAAAATTTTTTAATATTTTTTAAATTAGACACTTAATATAACCCCACCTTTTACCAATCAATCAAATTAGAAACTAAAAATTAAGTGACTTTATTATCTTTTTCATTTTCATATGATATTAACAACAAAATTTAAACGTATATAAATTTTTTTGTAAAAATAATAAACTTTAGTGATTTTATATATGCTTTACATTCACATTATTTACAAGTTGGTTCATAAAACATAATACTTAAAAAAAGAATGGATAAGACATAATAGACTCATAAATATAAAAATCTCTACTTCATTAGGAAAATAATTTTTTTTAAGTCCTCTTTGTTATCGGTACCTCAACTTTGCAAATAATGTGGACATCAGGAATCCAGCATTGGCTTTCCTTTGGTGGCCATTTAAACGATCGTGCAGAACCATTAGGACACATAAATTTTACAAGCACATCTTTTTCTTCTAAATTAATATCTTCAATGACTCCTATCCACCTTTTTGGCTCATAGGAAACACAGGCATAATCACCTGGTACTAGGTTTACAGTTGTTATCTGATATTTCCAAAGTCATGAATTAAAGCAAATTCTTCATCAACACTGCATAGCTTAGTGCCTACCTAAACAAAATAGTAACATATGCAATTATTCCGTTTTACTTATCAAACATGTTTTATTAAATTCCATAGATAGCAAATGCAGAGGAAATAAAATAAAATCCAATATCTATTTGAGTTTATCAATAAAAGTTATGCGTGTATTTTAAAATATAGTAAAAGGTATAATTAAAAAATAATAATTTACCTTTTGATGGCCAAGTGGTACAAACTGATGGTAACTACGTGTTCCAGGTATTGTATTAGCAGTATCCGATTGTTCTTTAAGAGCGGTTCTCACCAAAGTTAAATCTTCTGATGAAATATATACTAAATTTATGCCTTCAATGTTTTCATTGCAATATTTATACATTGTTTGTGGAGATAAAATATGATTACCCATATGCAAACTTGCTAGTGTTACAAGACGTTTGACTGTACCACCTATCCTATCACAAGGTTGCTTACCGTGACTAGTTGCAAAAAAGTTCCATTTACCAGTAAAACCAAAATCTTCACAATGGAAACAAAGATTTAACATATTTTTGCAATTCTTATATTGACCTGCACACCCATCTGAAAAGTATTCAATATTTTTTATTTGAGGCAAATTTGTTTTTATATCATTGCAAACAACCTCAATAATTTTATAAACCATGTTCACATCATGGATCATATCATCCGAAATAATACAATAGGATTTGTGCTCGAGAATGCCTTCTTTTTTGAAATAAATAATCACTGGATGAAGTGTAAATTATAAAATTGTCCAATGAAAGCTTTGCACTTCATCCTGAACTACAAATTTATAGTTTTCTGAAAAATCACCCAGAAATAATGCTGTTACCTCATTCATATCTTCCTTTCTTGATCTCAGGTACAATGCTTGACTCTTTGCTAAATACGAATGTGGTGCAAGTTTTTCCAGTTTTCTACATACTAGTTCAATGTATTCAAAGACTGGTTCTTTATTATGTGTCAAGTTTGACCTATCTGTTGTTGTCCATTGATCAAATTCAATCTCATCATCATCTTCAAATTCTCCAAGTATATCATAAAGTTTTTCAACCAATGCACTCATAGTTGCTGGGCATTTTTCACATTTCCTCATCATACAGTCTTTATTAGTTATATCACAGACAATATAAGGTAACAGTTCTTTGTATGTCACGCCAAGAGGATGTAAAAGCAGTTTCAAATTCTGATGAATAGCACAGACGCATACAGAATGTGTTCCTGAGGCACCAACAGTAATACACCATTTAATTCGCAAGGTGCAAAATCTTGAAAATCCTATTTTTATTTCTGGGTTCTTGGTTTTAAAGGCAACAAACAATTCCTTTAAATTACATAAGAGCAAACGTTTTTGCATGTGGACATTTTTCTTTATGCTTACATAGTCCTTTTTACCAGGCATTATACAGCTATGTTCATCATCTTTGTAAAAGGTTTTGACCAGTTGAACTGTTACATCAGGAAGAGCTTTTCCTAATTTAGGATTAGGCATAGTTAAAATACCTTTATCTAATGTTAACTTACGTGCAGTTTGAGCTACATAGTTTGTTACATACAATGTTTCAGACACCTTTTTTATTGACCAGTCTGTTGGAGCAAGTGTCGCAAGTTGTACTTTTTTTGATGTTGATGTAGACTCTGCAATTTTGTTAGTTAACAATACCATCATGTTATCAAACAAGTTTGCTTTTTCCATAGACTTATTATTAAAACTTGACTGTTCTTCAAAACTTTCTTCTGATATATTAAGGAAAATAGCTACCTTTTTTTTAATGGAGGTTGTTTATGCTGTCAATTTGCATTTACCTTCTCTGATTTTACCTGACTTGTGCAATCCTTTGACCTTAATTGGAGATACTCCGGCAGATGCAAAGTGTGTATCTGCACTTATTAATAATGATATTACCTAATGAAGTATAAATATATAAATTTTTACCTCTACACACCTTTTGGTGACTCAGAAATGAATTACAGCAATTTTTCTGATTACCCGCATATCTTACAACTAACATATCATGATGGTGTGTGCATATATTAGTAATTTGTTTTTGTTTCAGATTTGTTCGTTTTTCAAGTAGCTTACGATCATTGCTGTCAATATCTTCAATCAGATTTCTTTCTTGAGTATATGATTGTTTATAACAAGCTCCATAATTATTTACAAAGCAGCAATTAATTTTTTTATCTATATAAAAATATAATGAGGAATCTCTGTCTAAACACTTAATACAAGAAATCTTAAATAATCTTAATGTCCCTAACAAGAAAAGTACAATTGAACACAAACAATATCATATCGATATGTATTTATAAAGAACATATTGCTTGAACAAGTAGCTATTGTGCGTTTTGTGGATCTAAAAATAAACTATAATTTATTGTTTTGAGAGATATAAGTCTATGATTTTCAGATTCAGCAAGTTTTAAACTCCTTTTGTACTAAGTTTTAGTTTCGCAACATAACTACAAATTTGTTAAAAGGATAATGGTAAATAGACTGATTTCCGGCTTTTTCCCTCCTCTTTTTTCAGACTAACTTCAAGTGGGTTGAGAATTTCTTGAAAAAATTTTTCAGTCTTTCCTAACTTATATCTTTAAACATTTGTGCTAAATTTCAGCGGATTTGGTGATGCAGGGTGCAACCCCTTGTTTTTTGAGAAATTTTTACCCTAAAGTTTGTCCTTATTTTTTAATTTTATTTTATTTTGTAGAAGCATTTGCGTTTGCCTTTTCGTTTTGTAGTTTTTGTGTTTCATCTTGTAGTTTCTGTGCTTAGTCTTTTCGTTTGTGTAAAGTTTGTTTTTTATTTGTTTTGTTTTGCTAATTATTTTTATTTTTGTTTGTTGTTGTTATTGAGTGTTTCCATATTTTTTGTCTTATTATTTAACTTATTTTAGCTTTATCGTGTTATTATTATTTTATTTTCTTAGCGGTTTTCGTTTCATGTTTGTTATTTTTATTATTATTTTATTATTATACTAATTGTTATAATTAATTGGTGCAACTCTAATGGACGCAATGGTCCAGCTCAGGTCTAAATTACGCAAAGTTCTAGCGCAACGGTAGACAGGAGAACTTTGGGTATAGGAGCAGGATTACAAGTATTACAAAAAAATATCTTTTTTTTTATTAGGTCATACTTGTAATTTTATTGGGTCACACTTGGCACCTTTTAACAATTTTTGATATGCTGCAGTAGATTTTAAACAGTTTTTTTGACATAGGCTAATGTTTGACAGAACAGCAATATTTTTTTACTTTTTAATTCTTTCGCAATAAATAAAATTTACAAGTTATTGGTAAAGTGTCGCCTGGCCGCTTTTTGATGAAAATACAGTTTAGCTTTCAATTGAAAGTAGTCTTTATTTTTCAAATTACAGTTAAGTGCTATAATAATGATAGTTCGTGTTTAAAGTTTATATTTGTTGAACTTACTTTGTTTTGGGTTAATGTATTCCATGGCTTGACCATACGGTTGGTAAAAAAGTTATTTCTTTCCGCGCAGTTCTGAACAAGTTCTGCTTTAAGTTGTTTGGTGTGTATGCGAGCAAAAAACTGTACTTTAATTACATTGAGTTTGTTGAGTAAGTATCAAGTTTAAATTTTAAACTTTAAGAATTATTTATTGCACAATTTAACACATTATCAATTAGCAATTTATTAAAAAAATTGTTTATACTCCAAACATGATGATATACACAGCATATATAAAGATATTATATAGTATAACAAACAAAAAGGAAAGAAAGTATAAAAAAGTATAAAATTTCTAAAAACATCACAACACCGGGAAAAATTTGTTCCGCATATGTCACGATAGAGATACTTATGTTACTACAGGGTTATATGGAAATATAAATTAAACTATGCCATGGCCTACTATAATTACACGGCCTGATTTGTTGCATTTTCCGTAAAAAATTAAGAGGCCAGTTTTTTTACGGCTTATTTTCTACTAACAATATCTAATAATTAAAATAATGTGATTATTACAATTATTATATCAAAGTTTGGTTTATATTTTCATATTCATGTAGTATATATTTCTGATTATATTCTGACTGATTGTCTGTTTCATTATAATCCATTAGAGAGTGGAATAATAAAATAGACTTACAGACAGTCTACTTGGTATATTGTATACAGTCGAACTGCTTTTTTTTATGCAATGTTATTCAAGTGGAGATAACTTCAATTATAAATGTAAGAAATCTCAATATTATTGTAGTTTTTGAAATTTTTTTTAGTTATAAAAATGGTTAACAAATGTGTTGTCACAAACTGTAAAACTGGTTACTCTACTGGTCCAAAAAAGTCTACATTTCATTTTCCTTAAGAAAGCAGTTTGCGAGAACGATGGGTATATTTTGTCAATAGAAAAGATTGGCTTCCATCTAAATACTCTGCTATATATATTGATCATTTCGAGGATAAATTTATTAAATATGGGAAAAGATGCACCATGAAATGGGATCTCCAACCTGTTCCAACTATTCACACAGATAAAAAAAGTAGTTCATCAACTTTAAGGGTGCCAAAGTTGCCTAGAAAAGATCCAACTTTAAGATACTTGGGAAAAGATGAGTTCAGTGATTTTCAAAATATTGATAAAATAATTAGTCTTAATTCGTTAAAAGAACAGCATTGCCCACCAAGATTTACATTTAAGAAACTTTATGATAGTGTTGTTTTCTATAAACTCTGTTTTGATGAAATATCAGGTATACCAACTGTGTTTGAGTCAATAACAGTTAATAAAGATCTTAATGTTTCATTGTCGTATAAAGGATATCATATTTCTTTACCTGAATGGTTTCGCAGTGGTCATAATTGCAAATTAACAAACTGTAGTATGATAGAAAATTTTCCTGCTCATATTCGAAATAAAGCTAATGCTTTTAATTCAATTTTGACAGAGCTAAATGAAATAAGATACTATTCTCCACAAGGCAGATATTATTCAGGCTCATATTCTGCTTCCGTTATACGTTATGCATTAATTTTACGTCACACTTCAGCACAGTCATATAAGTTGTTGTTAAAACAATTACCCTTACCATCTTTTAGTTTATTAAGAAAAATTCAAAGTGGTGATATAAATGCATTTAAGGCTATAAAAGTTTTGTTACAAAAAAATTGTGTATCAAGTGACTGTGTGCTTCTTGTGGATGAAATGTATTTGCAAAAAGCAGCCCAATATCAAAGTGGGAAATATGTTGGTGAAGATTCAGAAAGTAATCTTTATAAAGGTATTGTTGTTTTTATGATTGTTGGGCTTCAAAAATCTATTCCTTATGTTGTGAGATCATCACCTGAAGTGTATATAACAGGTTCATGGTTAAAAAAAGAAATTGATGAATGCATTATCTCATTGCACTAATCTGGATTTAAAGTAAGAGCTGTTGTTGCAGATCATTCTACTAATGTTAGTGCATTTTCAGAGTTTCATAAAGCATATAATGGAGATGGAAAGTTATTTATATGTCATCTAGTTTACAATGGAGTATTAAAAACATACTTGTTGTTCGATATAATCCATTTAATAAAAAATGTTAGAAATAACTTGTTAAATGCAAAAAAATATGTTTTTCCTTCTTTTTCATTTGATTTGTTTAAAGACAAAGTTGAAGTTCCTGCTGGTTACATAGCATGGAGTTTATTTCATAATATCTATGAAAAAGATCAGTTATTAAACGGCAACTTAAAAAAAGCGAGAAAAATCAATTATCAGGTCACTCATCCTGGAAATAACAAACAAGATGTCAACCTTGCATTGGCAATATTTGATGAAACAACTACAGCTGCGATGCTAAGTTATTTTCCTGAAAGAAACGATGCAGCACAATTTTTATCATTGTTTTATAAGTTGTTCATCACACTTAATTCAAAGCAGAAATTTAATACATCCAATCAACTTGGCAATGCTGCCGTGAAGGGTGATAGCAAGTCCACATTTTATAGAGAAATTGCAAATTGGATTGATATTTGGTCAAAATGTGATTATTTCACATTTTCCAAACAAACTTCTCTTGCTCTTATTACAACATTACGAGCAACTGCATCTCTTATCGATGATTTGCTTGAAGAAGACTATACATATGTTCTTACTTCCAGGTTACAAAGTGATCCTTTGGAGCTACGTTTTAGTAAGTATAGACAAATGAGTGGTGGCAGATTGCTAGTGAGTCTTTTAGAAGTATGCAATAGTGAAAAAATTTTGGCAGTAAGAAGTCTTCTAAAGGAAGATATTAATTTCTGGGAAGAAAATATTTATCAGACATTTGATAATTCTAGTTTAGAAAATATTATGCAAGAAATTGATTTGTTGTCTACAGAGATTTTAGAGTGTCAGCTTTCTGAAGATAGCATGGAAGTTGCTGTTACAATAGCAGGGTCAATATACATGTCGCAAAAAAGTTAAAAAAAAAATTTTGAAGGTCATACTTGTAATCAAAAAATGGTATCTACAGACCAAGATATTCTTAATAATGAATACTTGAAAATATTATCCAGAGGTGGACTTATATGTCCAAGTCAACCTTTGTCTGATTATATTTGTCATCTTTTTAGTATTTTAGATGTCATATCTCCTATTTTAATCAAACATTGCAGTTATTCTTTTTCAATTAAAAGTTTTGCAGAACAAATCTTTAAAAATTATTACAGGAGTGTTGATTTTACTTGTGACAATCACCAAGAGTTGCGTATAAAATATGGATCTCTTATCGTTATAAATATCTTTTATAACAATTTGCAAAAAGAAACAACTGATTCAGTAAGAAAAGATCAGGTGAAACAATTTAAAAAAGACAGAGAACCAATAATAATTCCTAATAAAAAGCTATTTCTTTTATACTGTTTGATTCAATTATAATAAAAACAATATAACAAACCTTTGATTTTATTTCCACTAAAGATTTGTAGATGGTCTTTGCAACATGTAATGTTATTTTAAGTACCATGTTTATATATAGCTATCTGAAAGCCTATTTCAGTATTCTATTTTACTGGAATAAACTGAAGCAGGCAATCAGTTAGCGAAAAATCCAGTATAACATAATGTAACTACACCAAGAAAATCAGAGTCATTTTTTCCAATTTTAATAAAATATGTATAAAACTTTCACAATACTAACAGAAGAATTCAAGCTTTCAAAATGTAGCCGTAAAAAAACTGGCCTCTTAATTTTTTACGGAAAATGCAACAAATCAGGCCGTGTAATTATAGTAGGCCATGACTATGCAAAAATATAAATTAAACTATGCGGAAATAAAAATTAAATATTGCGGAAATATAAATTAAAACTTGCTATAAAATAAAAAAATTTTAATACATTCAATCAGGATTGTTTTGTACGGTAACGAGGCCGTGGTCTTGATTTCACTCATCTTGTGAGGTGGACCGTTACAAGGTATTGCCTGTAAAATGTGTAAACTACCTTCGGTATTTTTCATTTCCTATGAATTTTCTGTAACTTTTAACTAAAATTAAAAGTAAATTTTTGAAAAAAAAAACTTTGGTGGAC